GTGGTGTTTGTTCGCAGGTCCATTGACGTCCAGTCCAAGGTCCGCATGCAGGGCCTCAACGGCGCCACTTTCCTCACGTTCGGCCATTTCTACTCGGACCCCAACAACGTCAAACTTGTCTTCGCACGCTTCGCGGCAAACTTGCCCATTCGCTTGGACTGCTGGCCAGATGGGTACTTCACCGATGACACGCGGTTGACGTTCACCGACAACGACTCGATGTTTGAGGCGATGGTGTCGATGGAACCCCAGGGGGGCTCCCAGACTCTGTGGACGCTCTTCTCTGCGCAGCACCCGGACGCCGACTACGTGGTCGATAACGAGAAGTTCAACTACCCTGACCTGTCGAATGCAGCCCAGGGCGCCTCGGCGCCTGCTGCGAGCAGCGGGGGTGCCGCCGCAGCCGCGGCTGAGGGGCCCGGTGCCCCCGCCCCCCCGCAGCCTATCGCCGCCGCGCCCGCGGTGGCGGCCGACGAGCCCGCTGCGGTCGAGGGCCGCGAACCGTGACTGATCGGGCATCAGTTCCAGGCATCGCGCAGGGTCGACGGCCATGGCGAGCCCAGTTTTGCAGCAGGCAGTGCGGCGTGCATTCGTACGGAGTTCAGTGCATCGCTTTCTAGCGGTTTTGATGAATGCCAGGTTGTCTGAATGATTTGGCGGGGTCCGTGGCACGCAGCCTGCGATGATGTCTGTCTGAGTTTCGGGGCCGCGCGCAGCGATTCCGCTGCGCCCGGCTCCGGGGCCGAATGTTCATTCGACGAATCCGCGTCCGGGCCTGGGGCCCGCGCCGCAACTTCGCCCACGCGTCGCCAGCTATGGCGATGGGCCGCATGATCTCTCAACAATCCTGCGCCATCGACGTCGCATGATAGGGCTCGCGGGTCGCGTTGCCCTAAAGGTTGCCCATAGCCAGCCCAGGCGAATTCCTACTAGGCACAGCCCAGGCGACTTCCCTTGATCAGAGAAATGCGAGATCACGGAATGCAATAGAGAGCGTGGACAGCCGTACCGGTTGGAAAGAGGAGCAGGAGAAGGGAGGATGAGGACATGGAGGACGGATGGGGGAGGAGAAGGATGAGGAAGAGGATGGCGAGGCGGGAGTTTTTTTTGATTGCATGGTACCATGCTGCCCGCATGCGCCCTTGGCGGCGGGAGGTTCCGCCGAGGGGCTGACGGAACACATCCCTGTCGGTCGCCCCGCCGTCCAAGAAAATCAATCGGACCATAGGGCTCATAGGGCTCGTAGGGCTCATAAGGCTCATCGGGCTCATCGGGCTCATAGGGCTCATAGGGCTCTTAGGGCTCTTAGGGCTCATAGGGCTCATAGGGCTCGTAGGGCTCGTAGGGCTCATACGGCTCATAGGGCTCGTAGGCCTCATGGGGCTCATCGGGCTCGTAAAGCTCCTAGGGCTCATAGGGCTCATAGGGCTCATGGGGTTCGTAGGGCTCGTAGGGCTCATAGGGCTCATAGTGATCATAGGGCTCATGGGGCTCGTAGGGCTCATGGGGCTCCTAGGGCTCATAGGGCTCATAGGGCTCGTAGGGCTCATAGGGCTCGTAGGGCTCATAGGGCCCATAGGGCTCTTAGGGCTCATAGGGCTCATAGGGCTCATAGGGCCCGTAGGGCTCATAGGGCTCCTGGGGCTCGTAGGGCTCATGGGGCTCATAGGGCTCATAGGGCTCATAGGGCTCGTAGGGCTCATAGGGCTCATAGGGCTCATAGGGCTCGTAGGGCTCATAGGGCTCATAGGGCTCGTAGGGCTCATAGGGCTCATAGGGCTCATAGGGCTCATGGGGCCCCTAGGGCTCATAGGGCTCATATGGCCCGTAGGGCTCATAGGGCTCATAGGGCTCATAAGGCTCATAGGGCTCCAATTCTTGACGCTTCGCGTATCCCCACCAGCCCATCCAGGAACGACGCCCAGGCGAGTTGAGGTGATCAGGGAAGTGCGGAAGCAAAGAGGGGGATAGCCGAACCGTGCGAAGGAGGGAGGAGGAGAAGGAGGCTGGATGGATGGATGAGGGAGTGGGGAGAAGGATTATGCATAATATGAGGAGGAAAGGAAGGAGGAGAAGGATGAGGAGGAGAAAGAGGAGGAAGATGAGGAGGGGTATGAGAACGAGGCAGGAGGAAAAAGGACGAACCGAAGAGCCAGAAACTTGTTGAATGGCTCGGATTCTCCTCGGATGTCCCTTGGGGAAGCTTTTTGGGAGCCCCCAGAGGGCACCAAGAGGGCTCCAAGAGAGCCCCAAGAGTGGCCCAAGAGGGCCCCAAACCGCATGTACTTGATATGCTTATTGGGCTTGCCAGAGGGGCACACAAGTACATGCGTCATGGGGCCCTGTCGGGGCCCTCTTGGGGCCCTCCTGCCCCCATTTTGGGGCCACCCGGGAGCCCTCCCACCCTGTCCTGGCCCCCTCTGGGTGCTCCAAGAGGGCCCAAAGAGGGCTCCAATAGGGCCCCAAGAAGATCCCAAAATCGTTTTCGCGCAACCGCAAGGGGTTGTCACGGAAAGGGGCCCTGCGTGACAACCCCAGCGCTGCGCCCAAGACCCGTCTTGGGGCCCTCCTGGCCCCCTCTTGGGGCCCTCTTGGGGCCCTCCCAACCTGTCCTGGCCCCCTCGGAGGGCTCCAAGAGAGCCCCCAGAGGGCTCGACCCGCAGAACCCCTCGATCGTCGAGGGCTCCGTATGAGGCCCTCGAGGGCTCCAAGAGAGCCCCCAGACGGCAATCTCACAGCAGAACACGCTTACGAACTCGAACTCTATGCCGTAGGTCGCCTTCAGGTAATCCTCAATCGTGACGATGACGGGCGATGCGATCTCTGATCCAGAGTAGAGCGTGCCGTACAAAATACGTTTGACCTTTCCTTTCGTGATGGCCTGCAGGCCCTGCATCAGCTGCACCAGCATCGGCTCGCCCAGGCCGTCGAACATTTGACGTAGCGAATGCACCAGGGGGGGCCAGGGTCGGTCTCGGCGACCTTGGGCTTGGGCTCACCCCAGGGGTTCTGCTCCGGGCTCGGGGGCGCCAAAGCGCCGCCGCCACCCTGGGAGGTCGCGCCAGCGGCGGCGGCGACCTGCGAGGTCCCTCCAAAGGCCCTCAGAGGGTCCCAAGACGGCTCCAAGAGGGCCCCAAGAGGGTCCCAAGAGGGTCCCAAGAGGGTCCCAAGAGGGCCCTCGGAGGGGCCCAAGAGCGCCCCAAGAGCTCCCTCGCCCAACTCCGTCTGACGGAGTTGGGCGTGATGCCTGCTGGAGCTCTCTTGGGGCCCTCTTGGGGCCCACTTGGGGCCCTCTTGGGGGCCTCTTGGAGCCCCCTAGGGGCCCTCCTGGACCCTTCTCAGGGCCCTCGGAGGGGCCCAAGAGCGCCCCAAGAGCTCCCTCGCCCAACTCCGTCTGACGGAGTTGGGCGTGATGCCTGCTGGAGCTCTCTTGGGGCCCTCTTGGGGCCCACTTGGGGCCCTCTTGGGGGCCTCTTGGAGCCCCCTAGGGGCCCTCCTGGACCCTTCTCAGGGCCCTCGGAGGGGCCCAAGAGCGCCCCAAGAGCTCCCTCGCCCAACTCCGTCTGACGGAGTTGGGCGTGATGCCTGCTGGAGCTCTCTTGGGGCCCTCTTGGAGCCGTCTTGGGGCCCTCTTGGGCCCTTCGGGGCCCTCTTGGGACCCTCCCCGAGGGCCTCGGGAGAGGCCCCAGGACAGCTTATAAAACCAGCTTGTTTTATAAGGTACTCTTGGGCCGTATTGGGCCCTAAGGGGAGCCCCCAAAAGGCCGACTTCTGGCGTGGTTTTGCAAGTTTGATTTTTTTCTCTGTGCCCCTGCTGTGGTACTGCCATGTTATTGCTATGATACTGGCACGCTAGTGCCATACTATGGCAATGCTTGTGCCATATTCTTGACGCTTCGCGCATCCCCGCCAGCCCATCCAGCAACGACGCCCGGACGAGTTGCCCTGATCAGAGCAGTGGGGGGAGGGCATAGTCTGCACTCCAACGCCCATCCAGCAACGATGCCCAGCCAGAGACAGAGCTGGACCCAGAGCCCCGACGCCTGGGGGGCTCCAGTCTCCGTGGGCCACTTTCGTGGGGGCAGGGCCGTTCCCCTCCTCCTCCCCCCTCGTCCTCTCGCCTCGGCCAACCTTTTCGTGCGCCTCCGTACCTCCTCCGAGCCCCTCCCACCTCCTCGCAGCCCCTCGTACCTCCTCGTAGTTCGTCGTGCGCCCCCCTGCCGGGGGAGAGCCCAGGGGAGAGAGTAGGGAGAGGGGGTTGATAGGAAACTGGAAAAGGAACCGCTCTAGACCACCTACGCCCGGAGGGCTGGTGGGATTTTCGAAAGACTTGATCCCTGTCTATTTTTGGGGCGCCAGCAGCCCCCCTGTGGGCTCCTTGGCTCCTTAGTGGGCTCTTTAGTGGGCTCCTTAGCTGCAGCCCAGGGCTCGGGGACGTCACGAACCAGCCCCTCACGTGCTTTGAAAATCATGCGGCCACATGCGGCACCATGCGGCCACCATTCGGCCCCATGCGGCCCCTCTTGGGCCCCATGCGGCCACAACAATATCGAGCGCTCCAAGAGGAGCGGGCCTGGCTTTCCGATCCGATGTTGCCCCCTACGGGCGATTGGCACACTCGGCCCCCGCGTGCCCAATCCCCTCCTTACCAGAGCCATTTTGGCTCGAAACTTTGTTGCAGCATCGCTTGAGCCCAGTGCTGCTCTCACTTTGCGATGACACAGAACTTACCAGATCGAGATTTTCTTCGTGCTCTGATTGGCTTCGGGCGGCAGGGTATATATCATGCAGGGACTGGTGAGCTGCATTTGGTCCCTGATGCTTTCGAGTTGACCTTCAGTAGTAAAGGGATGGGGTACGTGAGTAACCAACACCACGCGGACATGAGCTGTTGGGCACAATAGCTTTTGAAGTTCACATTTCACTGCAAAGCTAATGACGCGACGGCATTCTACCGTTACGATCGTGTGGCACAGCACTCTCTTCTGCAGTCTGCATACATGGCAAGTGGTAACAGTTCTCGTGGAATTTTGCTGAGCGGCAATAGTACCGAGTATAAGTTCATAGTCTTCCAATCTCATTGCCCGAAAGGTTGTGCGTGCATCAGGTGGTCGATGCCCCACGTGCTTGACGTCATCCTTGGTCGCGGTCGGGATGGGAAGTGGTTGGGACGACACTCAAAACAGATGCTTGCAGTGCTTTCTTTGTTCGAGGACGCGCCGGGGGATCACTGGAGGCCTTCGGCCTACTCGCTCAAAAAGCAAAAGGATGTGCTTGGAGAGGAACCGCCTTCGTTGCCTGTGGAATGTCTCTTCGACGCTGAGTACAGCATATCATCCAAGGGTCTATTATACTTGCTTTGTAGATGGAGTCAACTGCGGCTTCAGGTCGGGCACGAAGTGGAGAGTAAGCCGGAGGCTTGCACGAACCTTTTGCGTGCGTTGCTTCACAAGTTCTTGCCAGCAGGTGCGGAGTGCAGCTTCCAGGTGAAAGTCGAAGATGGGTCTTCTTTCCAAGTTCAGATGCGCGATGGGTGTTTCATCTTCGTCGGTGGTGATCGGCGCGTTGGCACTCTTCGCAGAGTTTTATCGAGTTGCGGCAGCATGGAGATGGTGAGCGCTTTAGTTGAGATGGGAAGAATTGTCGGGTTCACAAAAAAATACAAAGCTATATTGCCCGTGGCCTTGGCGACGTTGCGCACGTTCGCCGCGGCGTTCTTCGATACAGTGGAGCTCAGCAGGGACGACGTCTTCTGGAAGGACTGCGATGGCATGGAACTTGAGCCCCTGCAACGAACAGACTCTCGTCGATGCAGGCGGATACCAATGCTTTTTCGGAAGGCGGTCTTCGCTGCAGTGCAGGGCGACAAGCAGGTAAAGTCAGTTGGGGAGCTCTTGGCTGCGAAACGACTTCTTGCAGGTGTCAAGGCGAAGTCCAGGGGCCTGAAGGTGGTTAAGAAGAGCGTGGATTCCAAGTGGGCCGACGTCCAAACGTGCAAGACTTTGCGTCTGCAATACATGTCGGGCACCCTGGAAACCATGCGCGGCTCCAAGTGGGCACATCCAGTCGTGGGCGCCTCGAGGATTGGAGGCGTCGACTGGCTGATGGTTCTCTTCTGGGGGAGTCGAGCTGGCAAGGCGGCTTGGTTCCCGCCGCAGGCGGGGAATTGTGCGCAACCGACAGGTCCCCACAAGCATGCCCAAACATGTTTTTTGTTGTTGTTATTTTTTCAGAGTATCCCCCCCCCCCAGCCCGGCACCCCGCGCGCACTCCCCCCGAAACCAGAAAAACATGAAAATCTGGTGAATGTATCCCACGTCCTGGCCCGGCACCCCCAAGTATCCCCCGTCCTGGCCCGGCGCTTCCATGTATCCCTATGTCCAGACGCCCCCTCTGCATCCCCAAGTATCCCTATGCGTGGCCCGGCGCCCCCTGACATGTGTTCGGCCGCGTTCGCGACGAGCAAACGCGACAAGTCCCTTGACCTTGCGCAGAGGGGGTCGCCGACGTGAGTCTTGCAGGGCCCGCCGACCAGGTCTTGCCCATAGGGGCCGGATCGCGGGGCCCGTCCCATGGGTCCCCGACCATTGGACCGCCACGGGCGGCGCCTATGGGCAGGGCCTTGCGGGCGGGCCGCGCAGGACTCCATTGCGCGGGGGGTGAGCGGGCGGGGCCCCAGGGGGCTCACGGGGGACTCTGATTTCGCAAAGTGCGTCTGCCTTTTGTGCGTGTCCAGAAGGTGTGTCGAGATTCCAAGCTACGCGATGAGAAGCCTGGCGCGCCCATGGCCCCGGCAGACAAAGAGAGGATTAACACTGGCATCAACAAGTTTTTGTCCGCGAAGAGAAAGGAGGCTGGGGAGTCCATGGATGGGGCCTTGCAGAAAAAACGGAAACAAGATGCCTTGCCTAAGTTGTCGAGCAAGGACTGGTTGCAGTGCATGCAGAACTCTTTCGAGGCTGGTCGTGGATCAGGCTTGGAGGATTGGCTCGTCGAAGAGCGGGCCTGGGACGATGACGAGGGCGAAAACGAGGCCGAGCCTGGCATGTGCGTCTTCCTCTGCGACCAGCATCAGGTGCAGTGGTGCGCAATCTATTACCTCATCTACCAGAGGCGAGGGGCCTTCTTGGGCCTCAATGGCCCCATTCACAGACGGAACAACGATTGCGACCGTGCTTGTGTCGCTGCAGGCTTCTACACCACGCATTTGTCAGACATGCTGATCGGCAACATCAGCTACGGCCCGTGGCACGGGCGTAAATTCTGGCACGAGATTTGCGATCAAGCCAAGGACGCAGTCCTGGCCCTCGACGAGCACAGCCCGTTGTTGATCAAGATGTGGCCTGCCATCTGCAAGGACCGCGGCTGGGTTGAGGACAAGGATACGAACTCTGCTGCCAGGACTCGCTGGCTTAAAGACTTACCACTCTCCAGAGATTTTTCTACCATCGGTCCGAGGTCGAGCACGGGGCGGTGGATGTCGATCCACAAGCAGGGCATGTATCGGGACAAAAACTACCACACGAAGCTCTTTGTCTTAATCTTGTACGCGGTCGGCAAAGGTTGGGAGACCTCATGGGCTGCGCTTATGGAGAGGCATCGCCGCATACAGAAGCCGCCTCCTACGTCCAGCGCGTCGTCTGGCACTTCGAAGGGCGACCCGGAGAAGGGCAAACCAGGGCCCTCGATTGCAGCCCTGTCGGCCTCAGCAAAGAGCACAACTAAGCAGTCATTGTACAAGGGGGCCGTCAATGGCCTGCACGGGGCAATTCGGATCATGGCGTCCCCAGATCACATTGACAAGTCGAGGATCAAAATGCTGTTGTTCGAGCCTCTCCATCGCGAACACTCTAGCACAATCGTCGACATGAAGGGCCAGAGCGAGTCCATGCAGTTCTACATTGATATGGCGAAGGGGTTGTGGCTCGATCCTTTGAAGAAGTCAATCAAGGCGTTGCACGACTTAAGAGGCTTATGGAGGGCTGGCTTCGTCGTGGATTCCTCGGAAGCCGACTTGGCGGGGCTGACGTTGCAGAGCGCGCGAGTCCAGGCCGACGATGCGCTCGCAGCGTCGGCGTGGAGATTATTATCGAATATTTTACACCAGCGGTGCGGGTCCATGGCGAGGCACACCTTCACCTACCCGTTCGTCCTCGCCATGGTCGGGTCGAGTCAGGAGGCAGAACGGAAAAAGGGCATGGAGTTGTTCCATAAGGATTGGCATGCCTTTGCCGAGGCAAAGAATTCAGCCACGGTGTCCATGCAGCGACTGGCAGCCCGAAGTTGCCTGCACGTCAGGGCCATGGAAGACACGGCCAGGATGGCGAGGAAGGACGCCTGGAAGCCCACGGAGCGCATCATCAACCGTTGCAGGGAGATCTTCTCGGGTTTCGGGCAGGAGAAGATCGTGGAGGATGCCTTGCAGAAGTGTAGACTTCAGGAGGAGCGGCGCTCGGGCCAGAAGATGGTCAAGCAGTGGCGCGTCTTTGAGTTGCCGTCGGCTGCGGGTTTGATCAAGCAGTACGGTCGGGAGGAGGTCGTGCCCGATGAGACCCCAATCCAGGTCGACGGAACCGGCGACGCGATCTTCAACCACACCGGCAAGTTCGATAACGTCAGCTTCGACAGCATCAGGACAGCTGACGGTTGGCAGACCTGGGACGCGCAGTCCGTGAAAGTGCAGAGCGCGGAGGTGGCCTTGCTGAGGTGGGCGCGCGCGTCTGGTCAGTGGGCGAAAATCGACGAGGTCTGGAGAGCCGCTTTGATCCCACCTCGCCAATGTATTTTGTGCCGTGCAAAGAAAATATTTCCCCACGCTTCGCGTGCCACTTTGGGAATCCGTTCGCGGTCGGACCTCTGGGGCCCCTCTTGGGCCCATGCTGGGGCTCATAGGGCTCGTAGGGCTCGTGGGGCTCATAGGGCTCCTGGGGCTCATGGGGCTCATAGGGCTCATAGAGCTCGTAGGGCTCCTAGGGCTCATAGGGCTCATAGGGCCCATGGGGCTCGTAGGGCTCATAGGGCTCATGGGGCTCATAGGGCTCATAGGGCTCGTGGGGCTCGTAGGGCTCATGGGGCTCCTTGGGCTCATAGGGCTTGTAGGGCTCGTAGGGCTCATAGGGCTCATAGGGCTCATAGGGCTCATAGGGCTCGTAGGGCTCATAGGGCCCATAGGGCTCATAGGGCTCATAGGGCTCATAGGGCTCCTGGTGCTCATAGGGCTCATGGGGCTCATAGGGCTCATAGGGCTCATAGGGCTCGTAGGGGTCGTAGGGCTCATAGGGCTCATAGGGCTCGTAGGGCTCATAGGGCTCATAGGGCTCCTAGGGCTCATAGGGCTCCTAGGGCTGAAAGGGCTCATAGGGCCCGTAGGGCTCATAGGGCTCATAGGGCTCGTAGGGCTCATAGGGCTCATAGGGCTCCAATTCTTGACGCTTCGCGTATCCCCACCAGCCCATCCAGGAACGACGCCCTGGCGAGTTGAGGTGATCAGGGAAGTGCGGAAGCGAAGAAGGGGATCGCCGAACCGTGCGAAGGAGGGAGGAGGAGAAGGAGGCTGGATGGATGGATGAGGGAGTGGGGAGAAGGATGATGCATAAGATGGGGAGGGAAGGAAGGAGGAGAAGGATGATGAGAAGGAGGAGGAAGAGGAGGAGGGGTATGAGAACGAGGCAGGAGGAAAAAGGACGAACCGAAGAGCCAGGAACTTTTTGATTGGCTCGGATTCTTCTCGGATGTCCCTTGGGGAAGCTTTTTGGGAGCCCCCAGAGGGCACCAAAAGGGCGCCGAGAGGGCTCCAAGAGAGCCCCAAGAGTGGCCAAAGAGGGCCCCAAACCGCATGTACTTGATATGCTTATTGGGCTTGCCAGAGGGCCACCCAAGTACATGCGTCATGGGGCCCTGTCGGGGCCCTCTTGGGGCCCTCCTGCCCCCCTCTTGGGGCCCCCCGGGGGCCCTCCCACCCTGTCCTGGCCCCCTCTGGGTGCTCCAAGAGGGCCCAAAGAGGGCTCCAATAGGGCCCCAAGAGGCTCCCAAAGTCGTCTTCGCGCAACCGCAAGTGGTTGTCACGGAAAGGGGCCCTGCGTGACAACCCCAGCGCTGCGCCCAGGAGCCGTCTTGGGGCCCTCCTGGCCCCTTCTTGGGGCCCTCGCAACCTGTCCTGGCCCCCTCGCAGGGCTCCAAGAGAGCCCCCAGAGGGCTCCAAGAGGGTTTCAAGAGCGCCCCAAGGGAGCCCCAAGAGGGCCCTGCAGGGTGTCACTTTCACGGGCGCTGAAAGTGACACCCTGAAGGGCCCTCTTGGGGTCCTCTTGGGGCTCTCTTGGGGCCCTCCTGGCTCCTTGGGGCCCCTCGGGGGCCCTCCCAACCTGTCCTGGCCCTCTTTTGGGGCTCCAAGATGGCCCCCAGAGAGCTCCAAGAGGGCCTTAAGAGGGCTCCAAGAGGGCTCAAAGAGGGCCCAAACCCAACTCAATGCATCGAGTTGGGTTGGGGCCCTCTCGGGCGCCGCCTCTTAGGGTCCCTTTAAGGCTTTCCGAGGAGTTCGGGGGAGTTTGGGGGGCTCCAAGGGGGGGCAGAACCATATAGATCAGTGCTATATATATATATATATATATATATATATATAGTTTTGCTCTCTTGGAGCCCTCTCATACCTTTCTTAAAGGCCCTCTTGGAGGCTTCTTGGGGCCCCTCTTCGGGCTCTCCGGGGAGCTCGGAGGAGCTCGGGGGGCTGCCCAGAGGGGCTGGACTTAAAGGGTCTCTCGTAACCCCCTTGGGGTCTCTGAGGCCATCTTTGGACCATATTGGGCCATCTCGGGCGCTCCAGCCACTCGCGAACCCTCCCGTCCAGACCCAGGGGAAGAGCGTCGGGGGAGGTGTAAACCATGCCCCGAAGGGGAAGAACGGGGTTGGAGGAAGGAACTCCCGAAACAACCTGCGGCCCTAAAGGGCCGGTGGGATTTTCTTCTCTGTGTTCGTTACGCAGGCGGGGGTATTGGGTTGGAAGGCGCGTGTGACTGGCAACAATTGCATGTCTTTGGACCTGCAAGTTTCCGAGTTGGAGTGGCACTTCGTCACTGACGAAAAGGATTACGAGGTCGTGCCAGGTACTGCGATATCACCCTTGCATTCGGCCCTTCGCAAGGACATTTCCTTTGAGGACAAGGGGATTTGTATCGCCCATGAAGAGCCGATTGGTTTGCTCAAGTGGCAAGCAGAGCGGGCCTTCTCGTGCGTGCCGGAATCTGTCTTGCTCAAGTTGTTCAAGACGCGGGGCGTGAAGGCCCCAGAGGAGGACTCAGAAAAACATCTGCTGGGGTACGAGGCGCACTTGGCGCTCGATTTGATGCACAAGCTCGCACCTGACATGGCGCCCGAAGCTGTTCAGCTCGCTTTGGTGCAGCGACAGAGGTCCGACGCGGAGTTGCCAGTTAATGACGACGAGGTTCTGCCGCGGGATTGGCTGGAGGAGGGCCTCTGCCGCACCGACGTGAAGAAAACGATGGAATTCATGGGCGATTGCGCAAAGGTGAAGGACAGGCAGGCTACCCGCACTGGTGTCGTCAACAAGGTGTTGGCTGAGTTTTCTAAGAAGAAGCCCTTCAAGGCTTGCCCTTTGACGGCCGCTGCCTCAAAGGCAAAACTTTCGACTCCCAAGGGCATGGACAGGTGGTGGAATTCGATCGAAGGTGAGTCCGATTTCATTGAAAAATGGGCCCCCAAGGGAGGGCTGGGCTTTAAGCTTTGTGTAGACAACGCCAATGGACGTTTTTTTGTGTCCTATGGCAAAGAAGATCGCAAATCCATTAGCTGGACGGAGAGAGGGCTGAAGCAAGCCCAGCTTATAGCTTTAAAGATACTATGGGACTCGCACACTGCTGTCACAGGCCAGAAGTGCCCGATCGACCTCCACGTTGCGCCGTAGGCCAGCGGCAATGCATTGTAGAGCGCGCGTCGTCCGCACAGTATTTGCAATAGAGTAAGTGTATCAAACGAACATACCATGCCCAGGCCCGTTTCGGTTCGATCACTCTGGTTCGATCCCTTTTCACGTCGATTCTGGTGCCGCGAGGGGGTCGCACGAAAAGGGGGGATTACGTTGGGATGGGGGTGCGAAGGAGGCCCGCGCGGAGCCCCAGGACCCCGGGAGGCCCTGGACCTCATGAGGCCTTGAGCCATGGGATGCCCCGAGCGTTGGGATGCCCATGAGCCTTGGGGGTCAGCCTGAGAGGGGTGGAGGGGGCATGCTGTGTTACGCATGTGTTGATTTGGAGTGTGCGTGGAAGTATTGGAACGTGATTGAATCAGCCTAGACTGCCTCACATAATGATGCCTGGATGCCTCTTGGGTCGTGGATCCGTGCCCGCCCCGTCCCGTATGCAGGGGCTTCGTTCGCGTTCCCCGTCTGATGGTGGGGCGGTTAGACGTCCCGCAACCACGCGCACTGCACGTACCGAGCTCGTGGGGATTTTGGTGCCTGTCCCCTCTCCGCCACCTCGCGCAAAACTCAAGCACGCGTGTGCATGTGCATAATCTTGCGCGCGTGTATGCAGATTTGCGTCTATATGCGGGCCCCTGGTCGGTCGTCCGGGGGTGGCATTGGTAAGTCGTAACAACATGCCGCGTGTATACATATATGCGCACTGCGAATCTTGAGCCAGAAAACAGAGCGCGCAGTGGTACCAACATTTGTTTCGACGCACAGCGCGCGTCTTGTAGCATCCGGGGCCGCCTTCCTATAGACTGCGACGGCAAAGGTCGTCATCCAGACATTGTCTCGAGGCCGAGCGCGGTGCTCGCCATTGCGATTCAATGCGGTTTTCACTTGTCGGGTTAGAAGGAGAGGCAATGTTCGGCTGACAACATTGCCATGCCACAGGCAAAAACAATGGTAGTTTCGCATTGTGCGTGACATGCTACCGGTGCTGCGGCTTCTGCTGCTGCGGCTGCTGCTGGTCCTCTTCCTCCTGTCCGCGATCCTGGCATTGTTACTGCTCGTGCTCTTGCTACTGCTCCTCGTTCTCCTCCGGTGCGTGTTCTTCCTCCTCATTCTCCCCCTCCTCCCCTTCTTCCCGTGTTACTCCTCCCCCCCCCTCCTCCCTCCTCCGCCTTTCCCTCCTCCTCCAGAGCCATTTTGGTTCAAGTGCCTCTCCCAGAATGGCCTACCCAGGCCGCGCCTGCCAGGCGTGCTAGTGCCAGCCAGGCGTTCCGCTCGCAAGCGGCAGCGGCGGGGGGGAAATGGCCTATCCTTTGTCCTGGTTGCAGGGCCGAAGAGCGGCCCATGCCAGGACATGGGCGCGGTTTGGTCAGAAATATCCCGCGCGCAAGAGCCCGCCAGGCGTGCTAGGCGCCAGGCGCCGAACAGAGTTCGATTTATCAGCTCCGCTGGCATCGCGATTCGCTCCCGTCGCGGGTGGTTCCGGGCTCGCTAGTTGCCCCTGCGGCGCTTGCCAGGCGCGGCAGTTGCTGGCGATGGCCCTGTCGAAGGAGGGTGTGTCCACAATTGCGCTTCCCAGAGGGGGGGGGGATTTGTTTACTTCTGCCCCCGCCGCGTTGCCGATAATCCGCCGATTTCCGCGACGCACGCGCGCGCCGCGGTTAGCCTGTCGGGGGCGATGACGTTCTGTTGGCATTGCTTTGCGTGCCGATGATGCGGCGAACGTCGCGCTTGATGTGGGCAGGTTCTCGTGGGGGTGTTGCGCAAGATGTAGAATCAAATCCGTCCTGCAACATTGTCGGTCTTACTGGCCCTTTTCCCATGGCAGCGACGCTGTTCACAGCGTGGGTTAGGGCCGTGCCCGTTCCCTCGATGGGAACGGGGCGGTTCCGCCACGGACGGGCATGTTTGCGGCGATGTCGTGTGGTCTTGGGTTTGGCCACGTTGTTCCGTGAATCGTCCGTGGCGCGCTGGCCACCATGCGTTGGATCTTGCCTCGTTTTGGGGTTATCCTGGGGGTGGGGTTATCCTTAGGCCCCCGAGACCCCTATACAATCTCCAGAAGATGAACCAGTATTGGTGCGACCGCAAGGCGGGCGGGGGGGGGAACGACGCGTGGGAAACGATTTCAAACCGTCCAGGGTCTTATTGCACGCCGTAGGGAAGCACGTGGAACCAACCCTCTCCTCAGCCAAATCATCGTCACGAACCAGTGCCCCTGGTGCCATGGTAGCTTCGTCAACAAAAGGGGGGCCCTGGACCGCGCGAGGAGAGTCGCTCTGAGGCACGGGGGATGCTCCGTTGACAGATCCAAGTGGGGCCGCGAGGTCACTGCCCCCGATATCCTCCAGTGTCGATTCTGCGACCACGTGGCTCAAAATCTACGTTCCTTCCAGGAACATGCCCGCCGGCGCGTCCCAGGCCCTGCAGGTGTAGTCGAGGCAACAGAAGCACCTGCTCGTGAAGCAGATCATGTCGTGGAGACTCGCGCAGGGAGATGCCGGCGCACCGGCGGCAGCAGCATCGACGGGGGAGGAGGGCAACAAGGGCTCGGGGGGCAGGGCGAGCAAGGCGCCGACCACAGAGAGCGGCAACGGTACTGGGGGGGGAAAAGGGAGGCGGAGGAGCAGGGCAAGGCGCAGACTTACGAAAGGCCTTGGTCACCAGCCAGAAGTTGGTGCTCAGGATTGCGCAGGAGAGTCGAGACCACCAGAACGCCTTCTACGACTCCCGGTTCGTCCTGTCAGGGGCCCCCACGATCGTCGCGGAAACTCGAGCAGGCCAGAACTACAACAACGAAGTCAAGAGGCTCGGGGAAGGACACGGGCACGGGCCACCACGCTGCCACATAACCATCGCCACGGTGGGAGAGGCCATCGACGCCTTCAGCAGCACGGGCGAGGACCACAAGGCCAGCAAAGAGTACCTGAAGGAGTGGGTAGATTCCGCGAACGACAGCAAGCACGGTCTCCGCCTCATCGACGCGACCTTCAGCCTGTTCAGGATCATGGCAGAAGATCAGAGAGAGAGAGAGAGAGAGAGAGAGAGAGAGAGAGAGAGAGAGCGACATGCAGGATATGACAAAGGTGGTGTACGGGATCAAGAGCTATGCCGGCTACACGTCGGCGCTGAGGATGAGTGGGGCAGAGGAGGAGTTAGCGACACAAGCGAGGAGGTTCTCACCAGGCGTGCTGAGAGAAGCGCTGAACCATGCCCTTCCCGCGAGCACGGGGACCGCGCCCATGGGCGTGGGGCCGAGGGCCGAGCTGGAGAAAGTAGCGGAGCGCCAGCTCAAGCAGTTAGTGCTTCAGGGAGTACCCAAGAAGAAATATGGAGACGATGCTCAGCTGTAGTAGCGCAGGTAGCGCACGACCCTAGGAGACAGACTGCTCCGACTAGAATGGTTTAGAGCGGCAGCGAGCACGCGAGAGAATTACCCCGGCAGGTGCACAGCTACCGACAGGAGATCCAGAATAGCCGCGTGCATCGATAGGAGCATGCAGCCTCTCGAGTCTCTAGACGCGCACAAGGTGGGCAAATCCAGAGCCGCTCGACAAGCTAGAAGACCCGCTGGCGCGGGGGAGGGCGCGCTGCCCTGGCGCCGGGTGGGTTCTCGAGCTCGTCGGGGGGGGGGCTCCTCTGGGTCGCCCTGCTGCGTGGGCAGTCGGGGGCCCGCCCTTTGCTCGATGCAATTTCGTTTGCGATAGCAGCCAGCGGCATGAGAGCGGGGCCCGCCCCGCTGACGGGACAGCGCCCGCGCCCGCGAGGCGCAGCGCGCGCCCCAGGCTCTGGCGGCCCGGGGCCCAGGCGGCCAATCATCCATATTTTCCAGCGGGGATTGCGCGAGAGATCGAGACTCGAGCGCCCCCTACGGAGAACCACCACAACCGCGACCTCCTCCCCCTCTTCCTTCTCCTCCTCCCCCTCCTCCTCCTCCTCCTCCTCCTCCTCCTCCTCGCCCTGGCCGCTCTCGGCCCTGACCGCGCCCCCGTTCGCTTGGGCATTGCCGACGCGTGCTTCAGGGCAGCCCGCGTCGGCGAGCCGTGGAGGCGCGAAGCCTGGCGACCAGATGGGCGCGCGCGCGGAGGGGCCGATCGCGGTCTTCCGCGCGCGGGGCGTCGTCCTCGAGATCCACTCGCCCGTG